CTGCTGCAGCTTTCGGGCCAGCTCCCAGGTGTCCTTGCTCTCTCCTCTTTCTCTGTCATCTGAATTACAAGCTGCTGCCAGATTTATATGTGCAAAGCCAGGCTCTGATCACTTGACTCTCCTCCTGAGTGAATCTACATTTCCTTCCTCTTCATACTAAAATAACTCCAGATGGACCAAAAACTATAGTGTAAAAAAATAATAATGTACAAAAATCAATGGGAAGAAACAAGGCTGAATTAATTTAAAATCTTATGTTTTTTTTTTTTTAAATGCTTCTCTTCAGGATGTGAAAGTACAAAGGCAGAAGTCAGACCTTGGCTAATTTGATTAAATAAAAAAGAAAAGAACTTATTGCCAGTAATAACTTGTTAAATTCTGACAACATGCGGGATTGGTGAGTTTCCATAAGGAAGATCCGTTCCAGTTGTAGCCAGAAGACCAGCTGAGCCCTCTGAAACAGAATCACATAATAAGAACAAGAACCTGGTTGACAAAAACAAGCAGAAGTCAGAGCAACAGGAAAGTCCCTAAAGGTGTTACAGATAAGGGGAGAGACAGAGGTGGTTCCCCCCCACCCCATACCTGCCAACAATTCAAATAAAGGTTTAAAATATTCAATGTCTGGGAAGGCAGAAAGAGAAAAAAACAATGTATAGTGTAAGTTTGATAAGCATTTAGAAGGATATTGATTTTATATTTATTTACATGTCGGTGTGCGTGCCTTTATATGCCATGTATGTGGGTGCCCCGAGAAGCCAGAAGTGGGGGGGTGGGTCCCTTATGAGTTGCCCACAGTGGATGCTGAGAACTAAACTGGGGTTCCCCTGAAAGAGCGGCAAGCTCTCCTACCCACAGAGCATCCTTCGCACCCATGCCTAGGTTTGATAAGCTTAGAAAACAATTTTATATGGTCTGTTAGAACTAGCCACCATCAGACTTCAGTGGCACAAACTCGCCGTAGAAACGGATTGAAGGATGGATGCCTAAACCTGCTGGCTGAACTACTGTCTGCGGCAGGGAACATATTAACCCTTTGCCGGCACGGAGACAGCACAGCCAGGATGTGTATACTGGAAAGACACCAGTAAGTGCATATTGCTAGTGTGGCCCCAGCACTATGACATATTACTTGAGAAAAAGCAAGTCATTTAAAAATGATTCTTACATATATGTTCTCCTGTAAAACACCCAAGGGACTGCTTATGGGTATCAAACCAGACAAATGGGATCACTCAGAGGGTACAGATTTCATTTCATATCAATACTGGGGACATATGCTACTTTTACTTAAACAAAATTAAAAAGGCTGGGAACAGGAAATAAAACACTCACATTTCTTGCAGAATAATAGATAATCCTTTATTGTGTATGTTTAGAGCACTTTGGTCTCTGTCTCAAATCTTCCTTCCTTCCTTCTTTCCTTCCTTCCTTCCTTCCTCCCTCCCTCCCTCCCTCCCTCCCTCCTTCCTTCCTTCCTTCCTTCCTCCCTCTTCCTTCTTTTATTTTCTTTTTTTCCTTTCTTTCTTTCCCTCCCTCCCTCCTTCGCTCCCTCCATCCCTCTCTCCATTTCTTCCTTTCTTTAGTCTTAATTTCTGGGTTCACTAAAATTCCTGTCTGGTATGACAACAGTAGCTAATTTTGGGGTCTCTCTCCCTGCCCTATCCCAGTCTTTGTTCCTGTTTGGTCCCAGGGTGATTTTAACTCCTGCCTTTTTGATCTGAACCCTCACTGCCATGTGAAGTAGGAGCTACCTTTCCTACCTCCTAGTGAATATAACTCCACCCCGTGTTTACTCCTTTTGAATATTACCCGGGACCCCATGCCGTGTTGTGGGGTGCAAGTTCTCCCTGGTACAGAAGAGCAGGGTCTTGTGTCTTGGCTACACCCAGGGTGTCTAGCTCAGAACAAGAATTGGAAAAGACCACAAGTATCAGTGGTCTGGTAGCATGACTGACAGGTAGCATGATTGACAGGTACATGTCAAAGGAGAGTGCCCATCCGTAGGATAGTGGGCACGAGCAGAAACAGCTGTGACTCACATGGTTCTTAGGAGGTGCATTTGGTACCTCTCTGCTGCATGGAATAGACTGCACGCAGATCCAACCACCCCCTAGGATCTGGATGTCATTATTTCTAGTACCTCTGTTGATTCCATAATCCATGAGTCTGCAAGTCCTTTATATAGAATGTAGCATATAAACTGCCATGTTTGTATGTTATATATAGTATTATATGTAAATTAGCATGAGTTCATATATTACCTACATGTACTTCCCCCTAACTTTTACTTAATCTTTAGATGAATCACACAATGTCAATGTCTTGTAAGTAAATAGTTATGTCATGTTGAAGATAATGACCAGGAAAGATGTCAGGACTTATTCAGTAAAGACATATTTCACATATTTAAAAAAAATGCTGTGCCCATGCTTGGTTGACTCTGTGCATGTAGAAGTCCTGCCTACGGAAGCTCCCGTCTGTCTAGGGTGGGAGAAGATGACTGCCCTGGGTCCTAAGAGTCTGAGTTTGAGACTCTGGGGAGACACAGCCTGCTCCCTTCTCCACTGAGAGTGCCAGCTACTACAAGAGCCTCTTTGTATCCAAGGCTCCCAGTGAGGAAGGTTAAAGTCCACCCATTCAGGTGTCAGCTCCTCATCTCTATAATCCGGGAGTTGCATTCCAGAAGCTGGCCCCTTTTCAGGACCTGCCTAGTTGAGATGCCACTTCCCTGACAGTCAGGCACTTAGGCTCCGAGAGAGAGAGAGAGAGAGAGAGAGAGAGAGAGAGAGAGAGAGAGAGAGAGAGAGAGAGAGAGAGAGAGAGAGAGAGAGAGAGAGAGAGAGAGAGAGAGAGAGAG